CCCTGGCGTGGTCCGCCCCCCTGCGGCGCTCACTCGGACCCCTGGCCTGGACCTTCCGCCTGCGGCTGCTGGGACCCGGGGGAACCCGGATGGCTCGTGACACCTCCTCCGCCTCCAGCTTCTCTCCCAGCTCCGTCCTGCCTGCCGACCCTGGCCCCTACACCCGCTTTGTGGCCCAAACCAAGTGTCCCACGGAGGGACCCAAGACCGTGGTTTTGGAAGCTGCCAACTCGTCCACCTACAGAGCCATCGAGTCGTCAGTGTCCTGCCAGATAAATTCCTGTGTTATCAGGAAGGTGAAGATTAATACAAATAAAGATGGTTCTCCTGTGCTCTTGCCAAGGAAGGCAGAAACTACCCTCAATGCCACCGTCGACCTAGAGTGCCTAATTGCCCTGACCTATTCCTACCACTGGAGAGTGTTTTCCGTGCCTTCTGTAGGTGATGTGCCAGACTGGACCCAACCTTTGAATCTCCCACAGCTCAAGATGGGGAGAAGTCCATTAGTTTTTCATATCCCCAGCTCTTCTTTGTCTTGGGGGGTGTATGTGTTTAATTTCACAGCGTCCATCACCACATCGAATCCGAAAATGCCTCTGATAGAAGACTCAGATGCCATCTATGTCTGGATTATTCGAAGTCCCCTGCAGGCGGTTATCCTTGGGGATGCCAACATAACAGCTAATTTCACAGATGAGGTGATTCTTGATGGATCAATGTCCTCCGACCCAGATGCAAACAGCCCATTAGAGGGACTCCGTTTTTTTTGGTACTGTACCACAAATCTGAGAAACTACCGTGAAGATCAAATAACAGTAATGAGCAAGGAAATCTGTCATCCAGAGCAGACCAGTCTGAAGTGGCCATGGGCCTCTGGCCCTGTACTAACACTTTTGCCAGAAACACTCAAAGGTGACCATGTGTATTTCTTCAGAATGGTGATACAGAAGGGACACAGAACAGCATTTGCTGATAAAAGGGTTCACGTGTTCCAAGGACCGAGTGCGATAGCACACATTGCATGTATTGAAAATTGTGATAAAACCGTAATTACTTCAGACAGATTTTCTTTATTTCTAAATTGCACAAATTGTGCAAGCCGTGATTTCTATAACTGGTCCATTTTGTCTTCTTCGGGTAGTGAGATGCTATTTGACTGGATGGGGCAAACTGTAACAGGAAGGAATAGTGCTTATCTGTCTGTAAAAGCTTTTGCTTTCGGGCACTTTTTGGAAGCTGAGTTTTGGGTTTCTCTATATCTAGCAAGTTGGAGTGGAGTAACCTCGATCTTCAGGTATTCCTTTATTATAAACCATGGCCCTCAAATTGGAGAATGCAAAATTAATCCAGCTAAAGGAATTGCACTTTTTACTAAATTTGTTGTCCAGTGTAGTAATTTTAAAGACAAGCATATTCCTCTTACATATAAAATAATTGTTTCTGATTTGCAAGGTATTGGTGAAATCAGTTCGGTAAAAGAGAACACTTTGGGGCCCATAATGTATTTGGGGACTAAGCCCACGACACCCCCTTCCTTTCTCCCTGTTGGTGGGTTGGCTAATCATTATGCCACAAAGATATATGCTCAGGTTTATGACTCTTTAGGAGCTTTTTCTCAAGTGACTTTGTATGCCACGGTACAGGCACCTACTGACCAAAACTCATCGAAGATTGTGCTGCATCAGTTACTCAATTTTACCACGGGACCAAGTTCATTGCTATCTACTTTGCTTCAAAATCAGACTTTTTTACCTGCTGGTTACTTACTGTACATAGTAGCTTCTGTTTTGAATAACATGAAAACTGAATTATCTCTCCAAAATGACAAAGTCAGTCTCCGAGAACACCTTGTCAATCAGTCTTTCCTTCTTCCTATAGGAACTTTGGAAGAAATTGGTCAGGTAGTCAGCACTGTTACCAAATTAACCCAAAAAACTTCTGAATTCACTCGAGATGCTCAGAAACGTGCCACAGTGAGGATATGGCAAGTAAATCAAGCCCTGCAAGAGTATCAACAAAAAAATAAACACTTTCGCTCTGAACAAATAGAAACTGTGAGCACTGGAACGTTAACGAGTTTGTCTAACATCCTTAAACTGATTTCCCCTCAGGAGGTGGTTGAAGATCCTTTCTATGTAATAGAATCTCTATCAGATACAATATTGGCTAATAAAGTGCCAGAGAGTGAAACCACTGGATTGAGAACCCCCAACTTTAACATGTATGTCAGGAAAGTTGAAAAAAGAAATGTTACCCAGGCCTTCAGAAAGGAGAAACACTGCCGAAATTGTTTTTATCCAACACTCAATGTGAGCAGTGTTCCTGATCTACCTGCAAATGCTCCGGTTTCTGTGATGTTTTGTGAGTTCACAGAGGACCCCTTTCCTTGGTTAAGTGATCAGGACGTCACTTCAGTAGAGGTGGTTGGATTCCGAATGACAGGAGTCACAGGTAATGGTAATGTGACGGAGATTACCCCTGATGTAGCAGAAATATACCTTGTCAGAAAAAACCTGACCTTTGCAACTTTTAATCTCACAGTGGGACCTGACAGTGAGGTTGATGGGTCCTTGAAGAGGACGACAGGGGCGTTCAGCTTTGAAGTGGACAGCAGAATGCTTAGGGAGGTGCTGGTCCACATCGTGACAGAAGTGACTGTGTTGTTTACTGTGTTGGTATATGCAGGCAGTCAGGTCATCCCCACTGCCTTGGTCGCCACCTTCCTTGTATCCCATGACATTCCTCCAGTTGCCAACCCAAGTACCCTGTTTGATCCAGCCTGCGCAGTGAGGAAGGCCCGCGTGGTCTGCCTCCCTCTGTCCCTGCTGCAAGTTATAGCCCAGCGCAGCCACGCGTCCCAGTGTGCTGTATCTGTGGTTCTGCAGGCACCTCGTTTTGTCATAAAGCCCAATGAGAAGCTGGTGAGAATTTCTCTTTTTAGCATTCAATGCTTGGACATGTATGGGATTCAGGGGGAGTGGAGAGAAGATAACTGCATTCTTGGTGAGAAGACCACCTGGGACAAGGTACACTGTATCTGTAAGAACGCAGTGAGGACCAGGAGGCAGCTAGACACAATCAGACTAGCCAACATTCAGCTGCATACTCACTATGTGATGGCCAGGGTTATTGTGGTCCCTAATCCTGTGGATCTGAGGTTCACGGTCATCAAGAATATTCACCAAAACCCTGTGACCCTCTTCACTGTGCTTTTCATTATGCTCCTATACACGATCCTTGCTTTCTGGGCCTTGCACAGGGATGAAATGGACCAGTTTCTTCGGGATCATGTGATAGTTCTACCTGATAATGACCCTTATGACAACATATGCTACTTGGTCACTGTTTTTACAGGAAGTCGTTGTGGGTCTGGGACCAGGGCCGATGTCTTTATGCAACTTAGGGGAACAGAGAGTAACAGTGATATGCATTGTTTAAGCCACCCACATTGTAAAGCTTTCTACCGAGGAAGCATTAACACTTTCCTCCTAACGACAAAAAGTGACTTGGGGGACATCCATTCCATTTACGTGTGGCAAAACTATGAGGGCAATTCGCCTAGCTGGTATTTAAGTAGAATCAAAGTGGAAAATCTGTTTAGCAGACACATTTGGCTGTTCATATGCCAGAAATGGCTTTCTGTGGACACCACCTTGGATGGAACATTTTATGTCACCCACCCAGATGAGCCTCTGAACAGAAAAGATTTTTTCCTTATAGATGTGAGTAATAAGCTAGCGAAAAAACACATGTGGTTCTCTATTTTTGCTGGTGTCACTACTAAATCATTCAGTAGGCTCCAAAGATTGTCTTGCTGCTTAGCAATGCTGCTAAGCTCTCTTCTTTGTAATATTATGTTCTTTAATCTAAATAAACAAGAACAAACTGAGCCAAAAGAGGGGCGCTACATCAGATCAATGATGATAGGAATTGAAAGTGTCTTAATTACAATCCCTGTGCAATTATTAATAACTTTTTTGTTCACCTATTCCCAGAAGAAACCTCAAGTGAATCTAGATGAGGTGTCTCCTCAAAAGCATCCCCTGATGTCAGAAGAAAGTGTATACTGGAAAGAACGTTTGGAAAAGTGGCATACTTATGAAACTGTTGAGGAACATGCCAGGAAGGCCACAAAACCTGCATCTCAGGGAAAGCCTCAGCTTCCTAACACTTCTGTTAAGGCAACCTTGAAAAAAAAGCACCAGCCCGAGAAACCAGAAACCAAGGCCTCTAAGACCCACAGACCAGACACAAATGCCAATAACAACAAAGAAAACACAAATGCCAATAACAACAAAGAAGATAATAAAGATGCCTATTCTGAAGATCACTCTTCCCAGAAGAATCTCCCACACCCTGAAAAAAAGCCCCAGATCGTCCTGCCTTGGTGGTGTGTTTATGTGGCTTGGTTCTTGGTGTTTGCCACTTCTAGCGTATCTTCATTCTTTATTGTATTTTATGGACTGACTTATGGCTATGAAAAGTCAGTAGAATGGCTCTTTGCATCTTTTTGTTCATTCTGTCAGTCGGTTTTTCTGGTGCAGCCATCTAAGATTTTACTTTTGTCAGGCATTCGAACAAAAAATCCCAAGTATTGTAAAAACCTTTCATGGTCAACCAAGTATCAATATACTGAGATCAGATTGCATGGAATGAGTACACATCAAGATGAAATGCAGAAGTTACATGACCACATCATTCAAATCCGAGCCTCCAGGATGTACCAGCCCCTCACAGAAGATGAGATTAGAATATTTAAAAGAAAGAAGAGGATCAAGAGAAGAGCTTTCCTGTTCCTAAGTTACGTTCTAACTCACTTTATCTTTCTAGCCCTTCTGTTGACCCTGATCATTCTACTGTGCCACACTGACAGCTTTTACTATAATCAGTTTCTTCACAATCACTTTTCTGTGGACCTTGCTAATGTGACTAAGCTGGAAGACATCTATAGATGGCTAAACAGTGTGCTGTTGCCTTTGTTACACAATGACCTGAATCCAACGTTTCTTACTGATAGTTCGTCTAAAATCCTTGGCCTTCCATTGATGAGGCAAGTGAGAGCAAAACCTGGTGAAAAAATGTGTCTACCCGCCAAAAAGTTTGGGCCAAACAGCATTGAAGGAGAAATTCATTGTCATCACAAATATGGTGTTGACCCAGAAGACACAAAATGCTATTCTAGCTTTTGGAATGAAGTTAGTAAGCGGGCTATAGACAAGAATACCGATGGGTTTACTTATAAGCCTCAAGAAAAGCAATGGGTGCATTATTCCTATGGACTGTTACATACCTATGGATCAGGAGGGTATGCATTCTATTTTTTTCCAGAAAAACAGCAATTTAATTCCACACTGAGGCTCAAAGAACTTCAAGGAAGCAACTGGCTTGATGAAAAGACATGGGCTGTGATTTTGGAACTAACAACTTTTAATCCAGATGTTAATCTGTTCTGTAGCATTTCGGTTATATTTGAAGTATCTCAGCTAGGAGTTGTCAACACAAGCATATCTCTTCACTCTTTCTCACTTGCTAATTTCGACAGAAAAACTTCAGCAGAAATCTATTTGTACGTGGCCATTCTCATTTTTTTCTTAGCTTACATTGTTGATGAGGGTTATATCATTATGCAAGAAAGAACTTCCTACATGAGAAGTGTCTATAATTTGCTCAACTTTGCTTTAAAGTGCATATTTACTATGTTGATTGTGCTCTTTCTCAGGAAACATTTCCTGGCCACTGGCATGATTCAGTTTTATTTGTCAAACCCCCAAGACTTCATTCCCTTTCATGCAGTTTCTCAAGTTGATTACATCTTGAGGATAACTTTGGGCTTCTTGTTATTTCTGACAATTTTGAAGACCCTCAGGTATTCCAGATTCTTCTACGTTGTGCGCCTGGCTCAGAGAGCCATCCAGGTAGCCCTTCCAAGCATCTGCCACATGGCACTTGTGGTATCTGTGTATTTCTTTGTATACGTGGCTTTTGGTTACCTGGTATTTGGTCAGCATGAGTGGCACTACAGTAATTTGATTCGTGCCACTCAGACTATATTTTCCTATTGTGTTTCAGCTTTCCAGAACACTGAATTTTCCAATAATAGGATTCTTGGGGTCCTGTTCCTCTCATCTTTCATGCTGGTAATGATCTGCATCTTGATAAACTTATTTCAGGCAGTGATTTTGTCCGCCTATGAGGAAATGAAGCAGCCCGTGTATGAGGAACCATCAGATGAAGCAGAAGCGATGACCTATCTGTGTCGCAGGTTAAGAACTATGTTTAGGTTTCAGACCCCACAATCTGGGGCCAAAGATGAGCCTGCGTTCTTTATTGACATGCTGTATGGGCAGCCAGAGAAGAACAGCTACCGGTATCTGGGGCTGAAGACCAGAAACATCAATGGGAAGAAAATGGTGTACCTCGTTGTTTGATGAATGATCATCTCTAAAGACACAAGCAAGCATTTCTGTAAATGCTGAGTTTGTGAGATTAAGGAATGTTAGTGGCTCAGTCATGCTTTCTACCCATATCCCTCACGATGTACGCCCCCTACCTTTGGAAGTATCCCCACTCTTGGCCTCTGTTCTTGGGAACATGAACGTAGGAGTGTAGTGTAGCATCTGGGGGAGTGAGGAGGCTCACTGTGTGAGACACCTGGATTGATTTCCCTTTAGAGGGGGAACTGCATGACTCGATACAGGGGCCACCCTCATTTCTTTGGAACCTGTAGCAGGTTTTAGAGCCATTGGTTTTGAGAACCAGATTTGAGAGAGAGAGTTAAAGAGGCCCCACCCTGGACCTGGCCAAGGTGGAACGTTGTCCAGGTGCTTCTGTGCTCCACCCAAGCTGGTCACCGATGACCTGCTGCCCCAGCGCAGAGCTCCAGACTCCAGTGCCTCGCTAGGAGTTCCCACTGGAGACCAGGGCTGGAGAACCTCCACTCAGTCTTCCTAGGCCAGGGCCTATGAGGAGTTCCAGGACTTGCCCTCGTGCTTGGAATCCAGAGATCAGAAGTCTGGAGCATTCCACTAATTCCTTAAAGCTACTGCAAATGAATGCAACATTTCAGAACATTTTCTGACTTAGAGACATGGCTTTTGTGAAACAACAAAGAGGTGCATGAGAGTTCCCATTGAAATATGGTAAATGTTCTATGTGTTGAATATAGCAACATATACATCCAGGATTTGGGCATGTGGTTATTACTGGTGTGGTGGATTACTTAGGAATAAGGAAAATGTGGTTTATCAGTTAGAAAAAACAAGGGCCAGCAGCTGCATATTTTCATTCAAAAGCATGTTCATTTATGTAGATATCACTTTAAGCTTTATCAGAATTAAATGTGAGATTTTTTTCTGTGAGACTTGTAGTGTTTTCTGTATGAGGGGTATATATAAACATGGCTCCTCCCTCAAAGTGGAGGGTCAGAAAAGGGGGACAGTCAAATTAGGTGGGTGGCTGTTTTGTACCCATTTAGGTGTCCCTGTCATCCTGAGCTGACTGAAATGGTCATAGCACACTGCCCCTGCAGGCTCACGCAGACCAGACTCTTTCCATTGTTTCCTCCCAAGAAGACGTCCAAGAACCTGGGCTGGCTGTCATGCTCTCTGCCAGGAGAAAATGAAGAGATCTAGTGACTTGCCCAGGGCCACTCACAAGGGTCCGAAGGTCAGATTTGGATTTTCTCATTCCTCCAGTTGAGAGGTCACTGGAGTGGCGTGGACCACCCCACCCCCAGGTTCTGACTAGAGCATACATTCACCAGATAACAGCTCTCTGAATCACCTGGTTTCTGAAAAGATTGAGAAAAAGAGTAGTGGGAGGCCAAATGATTACTTTTTACTGATGGAGACCAATTGAAGTCTAGTCAAATGCACTTGTCCATTGAGCTGTAGAATGAGGGAGTTCAAGACCCAGTTGCAGGCAAAGCTGGGCAAGCCGGCCTTAGGGGCAGTGACTTCTGACCAGACAAGCAGAGACCCAGGCTCTCTGTGGGTGGGGCGCTCAAGCATTCTCCCCCAGCTAAACAATGGCTAAAGTCTCTGCCTCCCTTCAGGGGCTGAGCAGGAAGTCAGGGTTATACTAGTTGAACTCCCTTCTAGGAAGGAAGTAGTAGGGATCAGGGAGAAGGGTTTCCCATCAACATGACCAGAGCTGTGTGTGCAGTGCAGTGGGGGAAGTAAGTCACTAATGAGTCAGGAGAGTCACAGTCATAAATGGGCTGCCCAAGAGGGGGGTCTCAGCCAGAGAGGCTGCAGGAGTCATTGGGAGAACGAGCACTAGAGATGGTCTCAGTGACCTGGAACAACAGCTATGGGTCTTGTCAAATAAGACAAGACTTTCAACTTGGTGAAAATGAGAAATCTAGCAGTCACAGGATTCTTCCCATGCATGTTGGAAAAAGGAGAGTTTGAGAGGTTTTCTTCCAACCTGACAGAGCAATGACAAATATTGATACAGTTTAGAAACACAGAGATGCCAATTATCAGGAAGACAAGGTATCAAGTGACAAAATTCAGGTTTCTTTTGAAGGCTATTTTCTTTCTTTCTTTTTTTATTCAGCAGACATTTTAATTAAGAAATCATATAAGCCGGGCTCGGTGGCTCAGCCTGTAATCCCACGCCTTTGGGAGCCCGCGGGTTCGAGACTCGCCTGGGCAGGCGAGACCTCATCTCTACAATAAATCAAAAAATTAGCCGGGTGTGGTAGCGCGCGCCTGTAATTCCGGCTACTCGGAAGGCTGAGGCGGAAGGATCGCCGGAGCCCAGCAGGTCGAGGCTGCGGTGGCCGGGAGCGGCCACTGCACCCAGTCTGGGCGACAGAGTGAGACTCCAACTCCAAAAAAAAAGAAGAAAAAGAAAATCGGTTTCAAGCTGGGCTCTTAGTCTGTAATCCTGTGCTTTGGGAGGCTGAGGTGAGTGGATTGCCTGAGCCCGCGGGTTCGAGACCTGCCTGGGCAACTTGGTGAGACCTCATCTCTACAATAAATCAAAAAATTAGCGGAGCGTGGTAGCATGCGCTTGTAGTTCCAGCTACTTGGAAGGCTGAGGCGGAAGGATTGCCGGAGCCCAGCAGGTCGAGGCTGCAGTGACCAGGAGCGGCCACTGCACTCCAGTCTGGGTGACAGAGTGAGACTCCAACTCAAAAAAAAAAAAAAAAGAAAGAAAATCGGTTTCAGTCACTCACAAAGAGCTGGCAAAGCAGGAGGAAACATACTGTGCGACCACAGAGGCTCAGGCTGAAGGTCATTTTCATAGGACATGGCAACAATGTCTAAAGTCTTTTAAGACTCCTTTGTTCTCACTAAACTTTTAGGGATAGAGTAGGTATATTCCAAAACAATTTGCAACAATCATGAATACCCTAATAACTGCTGCACAGGAAAATAAGATGGACGGTGTTTTTGTTCTCAGTTTAACTCCCTATTAACTCAGAGTAGTTGAATACTTTGTATATGCAGAGAACTTTCTCTCTCTGTAGCTACAGAGAAGGGAGAACATGTCCTTCATCTATTTCAAATTCTTATTAATTATAAAGACTTGCATTTTTAAGGCCGGCTTCTGGAATTTAATAAGTTAGCACTCAAAGCAAAGGGTAAGGCTTTAGACCTCAATGTTATTGGCAGAAATGGAAAACTGGATGGATAGAATGGTATCTAGTGAAATGGGGTGCATAAGTACAGTACCCCTTTTTGCTGTTGACAATACTTCAGCTCCAGACTTTAATCTGCATTCAATACCTTCCAATTTTTAGATTTCCTTTCTCAATCTTCACCTAAATACATGATGTACAATATTATGGTAATCTTTTAAGACCACATTTATATATTTTATAAGTATTACCACAACATATATGCAATTATTTTCCCCCAGCAAGCCCATCCTTAATACTTGCAAGAGGCCCAGGGAAGGACTACAAATCTCCATATGTCTAAATATTTAAAAGCTTACAAATTGGCCGGGCTCAGTGGCTCAGCCTGTAATCTCAGCACTTTGGGAGGCCAAGGCGAGTGGATTGCCTGAGCCAGCAGGTTCGAGACCAGCTCAGGCAACTTGGTAAGACCTCCTCTCTACAATAAGTTAACAAAACTAGCCGGGTGTGGTAGCGTGCACCTGTAGTTCTGGCTACTTGGAAGGCTGAAGGATCGCCGGAGCCCAGCAGGTCAATGCTGGGTGGCTGTGAGCATGCCACCGCACCCTAGCCTGGGCAATGGAGTGAGATTCCAACTCAAAAAAAAAAAACTTACAGATTAAAACATAAAATATATTAATCTACTTTGATAAATATACCTTCATAAGGACAAAATTCAAAATTATGTGTAAAACTATGTTTCTCATATAGTTGAACATAGACAAAATATCAAAGATAACAGAATCTAATTTTCATTATGCACCTCTGGGTGTTCTATTGATGGGTCAGTGATGCTTCAATAATAAAACACGCATAATCCATAAGTTAGTAAATATTTATTCCATACATTTTTTCTTGCTTTCATTTCAGAAAAATCATTGTGTTTGTTTTCACACAATTGTGTTCTATTGATAATTAATACCAAATTAGACAACCTTTCCTGAGTCATTTAACTTTGTAGATAGTTTTCAGTTGCTTCAATTGGGAGAAACTTCACTCTGCTGAGTTATAACTGGACTTATGAATAAAAATCTTAAAACTCTGTATTCAGAACTGAGCCATGAATATTGATATCACCTTTAAAAATTGTAAGGAGGGTGCATATTAAAAATTATCATGATTGCAGAAAATATTACAAATGATTGTCCTTTCTTTATATAAAATGTATCTTCGCTATTATCACCATTTCTTACAGTATCTAGATCCATATTGGATTTAAGTTTTTCTTCTTTTCCATTTTTCAGTGCTGAGATATTATAAAAACGAGAATTGCAGTAGTTGCTCACTTTTTCAAATCCCTTCAGTAGACTGAACTTCAACCTACAGTGATTAGAAAACACTCTCTATAGAAACTAGTTTCAGGATTGTTTGTATATGAATCTTTTTCTTCAGACTTCAGCAAATGTTTCTATTTCCTAGTTCTAATTTCCTTACATTGTACTTGAATGTCATTTGCTTATTTCAAATGCAATTTCTTTTAGGAAATTTTTCTTCTAAAACTTTATGCAATATTTTAAATAATAACTGAAGAGCACAAGTTCACAATTAACTTTATTTTCTGCTAAAGACCACAACTTGCTTTTTTTTTTTTTTTTCTTCCAGAAAGCAGGATTTATTGAGAGGACAGAAAAGCTCCCACAGTGGGAGGGGACCCGAGGGGGTTGCCCAACAATTTGCTCTTTGAATATTTCCTATTATTTCACATCACTCTTCTAATGCATCTTACCTATTACTTGTCTAAAAATAAATCTAATTGCTTTAACAGCATTCATGGGAGCACCACTATGTATCTAAGAGTAGTCACCATCATGTATCTAAGAGTAGTCACCATCATGTATCTAAGAGTAGTTCAAATTTGAAATGCTTTTTCAAGGCGTCCTTCCTACCTTTCGGCAGATCCAGAAACAAAAACAACTCAGTATTTAACCTTTGAATTGGTCCAAAGAATGCAGTTGCTGTAAACACAGTTGAAGTCACATCTACTAGTAACGAAATCAAACTGCTTGATAATTCCTGGGGCCCCTATGGCCCAGGGCTAAGAAGAATGGTTTTGGCTTCCAATATTAAAATGTCTTGTACGATCCTTACTTCTCAGTTCCTCAAAGGAGTCCCAAACTCCAGTCCGCTGAAACTTGGCAACAATCCTTTAAATGTGGCCTGACAAATCAAGAATAAATTCTGGTCTGTCGGCAGCACCCCTTGGCAATGACAGTGCACACGCATCTGGCCTAGGGAATGGTTATGGACGACCCGACCCCACTATCACAACAGTATGTGGAAGACTGAGGGCTAGTGGTACAGGCAGGAGAATGGCCGAGCTTGGCAAGGGCAGTGGAAGAGGGCAGACCTCCTCTCCGCAAAACAAAATCCGCAAAACAAAATCCTCAAGCCACTAGGCGAAGGAGGGCAGTAAAATCCCTGTCGCCCCAAGGCTCAGGTGAAGGCCCTCTGTGGTGGGGGTGAGCGTCTCCAGCTGGGCAGGAGGTGGACCCCACCGGCAAAGCCAGGCCTGCGGGCTTCAGAATCTGTTTCCCTACCCCCACGGAATGGTGCCTCCCATACACAGGAGGGTCCAGGAGTGAGGTGGACATTCCAGGTCTAGGAGTCTGAGGCCCCAGGAGCGGAGAACCGAGGGAAGCTGGTGTGGCTGGTGCCTGAGGGGAGCGGCAAGGCCCAGGAGGTTGAAGGCAGAGCGGGGCGCAGACCACAAGGGGCATCGCAGGCCACCTGGAAGCTTTGGAGCACAGTGACATGCTCTGAGACGACACAGCTTTATAAAGGTCGCAGGAAACGACAGGGCGCGCTCTGTCTTGCCAGCCGCTTCAAGCGGACACAGCCCCACCGGCCTGCAGGGATGTCGTCCGCTGGGGGAGAAGGCAACACGCGAGCTAAGTAAGGCTGGGGCATTTCAACCCCAACAGCGCGCGAGAGAAGGAAGCCACCCTCCGCGCCCCTCGGCTTTCCGGCGACCCTTTTTGCTGGATGGAGCGCCTCCGAGAGGCAAGGCTAAACCCACGTGTTCCGCCAGAGCACTCCCAGCTCCGCAGCAGCCCCG